ATTCGCCGATGCCATATTTGGATTCAGCGTCCCATAAAAACCCCGATCGCCCAGTTGCCCTCCTTCCCTGCGTGAATTTTGGGAAAGTCCTACGAAGATGACGTTCGTCGACGTTCCTGAGCTCCAGGTCGGCTGTGGGTCAATTTAGACATCAGAAGTTTTGAAATCATCCAAGAGGCCTCTCAAATAATGCATTTTTGGAATGCATTTTTGGATGCAGCAATGCAATTTCCGGTTTGTATGACCCGGAAATTACGAGGGAGTGATACAAATAATTTTTGCAAGCGAATGCAAAAAACCACATACCGATCCGATATGCACGGAAAAACCCAGGAACTTTTTGCTTCATTGATTCGACTATATGAAAAATTTACGATTGCGCTCAATTTACCTGTAGGATTAAACTGACCCTAAAATCTAGGCGCCCAGTTTACGTCTTCAGATTATGGAGCAGATAACCTTCGCGCTCAATTTACCACCGCCGATATTCTGCATGCTTGAGGCATATGAAATTATTGCATTGCTTGAAATTGTATTTGTTCATGCGATTTTTTTTTACTACACACATCTAGTAAACGTATTTATGGAAGAAAAGGTCCGCATCTTATTATTTTAAAAAGTTATATGCATTGTTAATAAGAGTGTCAGACGCCACACGGGTATTGGAAGGTTAAACAGACCATCGTTAATTTGGCACTTCCAACGACTTGCAACCATTTTAATTTTCAAGGCCATCCAAATTCTTGACAAAACGAATATGAACAGAAAACTCAAAAACAATTCCTTTGAATTACTAAAATAGTGTTAGTGTAAAGCAAAGTAAAGTGCAGTAGATACACACGCTAATATTAAACAAGTTATAAGAATCTAAGGATTATTGTTGATGTTTAAGATCACACAGTTGTGAAAAGAATATCAAAAAGAAAGTAGTGTGCGAGCTTGAGAAAGCATTACAAGCATTCAACGTAATGATACTGCAATAAATGGCTCTCGTGAAAATATGAGAATCTACATTATGACAGTCAAAGCCAAACTTATCAAAAGACAGAAGAACAATCCAAATTAGCACTACACTCTTAACTAGGTACTGGGACACATATGAGGAAGTGTTAGAAAAGCAGACCTTCTAGCCAATTCACAATAAGTTCTCTAATAGGCTCTTAGTTGGAACTTCCTAGACACGATGGAAGGAAACTGACAAGGGTACACAACGAGCTTAAAGTTTGAAAACAATTGGCTTTGAACTACTCCCTAATTCAGACAGTTAGATGCAATGGATTTTTTAGAAAGATCCTAGATCACGGAAAAAAGCTTTTAAAGTAAAAGATACCAAATGTAATCCATATAATAAACTGTCGAGAAAAAAATTATTTCTCTTTTTGTTTCCATTCTAATGCTTGAATTCTGATCCTGGACATCAAAATACAATAAAAATTTTAGCTTTTAAAGATTGCTTTTATCTGATTTACATCGATAAGTAAGTTTTAAAGATTTTAATTGATTTTTTGAGCAACAGATAGTAGCACTTTGATCAACCCGATAGCAAATTGCATATGATTTGTGAAGGGCATAGTAGTGAGTATTTACTTGTCAATCATAGCTGTAACAACCGCCTTTATATGTTTCTTACTAAGTTAGAAAATGGCATGAAAACAGTGTAAACAGAAGCAAAGCTTATGAAGCCTATTTTACTCTCAAAATCCGAAATCAAGATAAAAATGGATACCTAAGGTAAAAAACTAAAATTTCAGAAAGGAAAACATAATGTCGAGTTGGAACAAATTGTAGAGCCTAAGAATATATTGATACCACTCTTACATATAAAATTGAGCCTAATGAAGCAATTTGTAAAAGCTATAAATCCAAATTATGAAACCTGCGTCATGTTAGCAAGTAGCCAGGCAGCAATAAATTCAAGTGGAGGCCAAAGCGCCAGCGGTCTCACTTAATCTTTAACATCTAATTACTTTAAATTTCGACATAAAGAATATATTAAATTAAAATTTGTTGAAATATAATTATTATTACCCTTTCTTAAAATTATAATAAGGGATTTAGAGAGGGCTAAAGCTTTTATACCTGGAACGAAATTTGTATTTTTTAAAAATTTATTTAGGCCATTGAATAGATAATATAAAAACAAACAACTTTTTCAAATACCATTTTAAATCCTATATGGGTAAAAAGGGATTCAGAGAGCTTTGAAATTTCAGAGTTTTTGTTGCTCAACCAAAATTTGTTTTTTCAAAAATTTTTAGGCCATTCGAAAGATAATAAAAAAACAAACAAATTTTTTAAATACCATTTTAAATGCTATATGGGTTATAAGGATTTAGAGATCCTTGAAATTTCAGAGTTTTTATTCCTGAACCAAAATATGTTTTTTCGAAAATTTATTTAGGCCATTCGAAAAATAATAAAAAACAAATAACTTTTTCAAATACTATTTTAAATCCTATATGGGTAATAAGGAATTTAGAATGCTTTGAAATTTCAGTGTTTTTATTGCTGAACCAAAATGTATTTTTTTAAAAAATTATTTAGGCCATTCAATAGATAATTGAATGGCCTAAATAATTTAAAAAAATACATTTTGTTCAGCAATAAAAACTCTGAAATTTCAAAGCTCTCTAAGTTTCTTATTACCCATATACCATTTAAAATGGTAGTTGAAAATGTTTGTTTTCTTATTATCTATTGAATGGCCTAAACTAATTAAAAAAAAAAATTATATTTTGGTTCAGTAATAAAAACTCTGATCCCTTATAATCTCTTATAATCCATTTAAAATGGTATTTATTAAATTTTTTTATTTTTTATTATCTTTCGAATGTGCCTAAATAAATTTTTGAAAAAACAAATTTTGGTTCGGGAATAAAAACTCAATTTCAAAGCTCTCTAAATTCCTTATTACCATATAGCATTAAAAATATTATTTGAAAAATTGTTTGTTTTTTATTATCTTTAGAATGGCCTAAAAAATTTTTGAAAAAACAAATTTTGGTTTAGTAATAAAAACTGAAATTTCAAAGCTCTCCAAATCCTTTATTACCCATATAGCATTTAAAATGGTATTTAAAAATGTTGTTTGTTTTTATTATCTATTGAATGACCTATACAAATTTTTTTTTAAAAAGTTATTTTGGTTCAGCAATAAAAACTCTGAAATTTCAAAGATTTATAAATCCCTTATAACCCATTTAACATTTAAAATGGTATTTAAAAAAATTGTTTGTTTTTTTTTTATTATCGTTCGAATGACCTAAATAAATTTTGGAAAAAAACAAATTTTTTTTCAGCAATAAAAACTCTGAAATTTCAAAGCTCTCTAAATCCCTTATTACCCATATAGCATTTAAAATGGTGTTTTAAAAAGTGGTTTGTTTTTTTATTATCTATTGAATGGACTAAATAATTTTTTTTAAAAAATAGATTTTGGTTCAGCAATAAAAACTCTGAAATTTCAAAGCTCTCTAAATCCCTTATCACCCCATATGTAAAATAGTATTTAAAAAAGTTGTTTGTTTTTTATTATTTATCCAATGGCCTAAATATATGTTTGAAAAACACAAATTTCGTTCTAGTAATAAAAGCTTTAGCCCTCTTTAAATCCCCTATTATAATTTTAAGCAAGGGTAATAATAATTATAATGCAACAAATTATGATTTAATATATTCTTTATGTCGAAATTTAAAATAATTGGATGTTAAAGATTTAGTAAGACCACTGGCGCTTTGGCCTCCACCTGAATTTATTGCTGGCTGGCTACTTGCTTTTTTTGGGGATTTTTCAAAAATTATCTAAAGTAAAAGCGAGCATTGTCGGACCAAAAATGAAACAAATAATGAGTAGTAATGATTTCATAGAATTCATCAATGCTAAGAAAATACAAGCCTGGGCGAGTCTTAAAGCAGTAGTTAATGGTTTTCTTGGTAATAATAGAGATAGACGATTGCAACCATGCTTGAAATTTTTAAAATTATGGACATTCCGCAGTCCCATAAACTTCATATGCTACATTCTCACCTGAATTAATTTGAAGATAATATGAGTGCCTACTTAGTGGAGCAAGGACAACGTTCCCACCAAGATGTGATGGGTTTTAAACAACGTTACCAAGGGCAGTACAACGAGAATATGATGTGAAATTAAATTTGGGGTTCAATTACGAAAAAGTTCATACAAAAATAAGAGAACTAATAAAAATATTCATTTCTGAACTTGATTTTTTGTTATTTTGCATTTATATTCTACTATTTATCACAATTCTTAAATTAAAAAGACTTTGGTGTACGGCAAAAACTTAAAAGTAAAAAAAAAATATAAAAATCAGTCATTTTTCTAGAAAATTCGAAAAATTTCTACAGAAGCAAACTTTGATCAGAAAAATTATTTTTCCTTTATTTGTAACATAGGAGAAATTAAAATTTCACATGCAGAAGTCAGACCCAAAAATCGTGTCTTCCGGTATAATTGGTGTGGAAATTTTAAAAAGATCCTAGCTCAAGAAAAGAAGCTTTTAAAGTTAAAGATGTTACAGTTATCTATAAAATAAACTATTAATATATTAGTGAAGCGAATTTTGTACAAGAATTATTTCAAACATCTGATAATTGGTGTGGAAATTTTTGAAAGATCATAGATCACGGAAAGAAGCTTTTAAAATTAAAAATGTTACAGTAGTCTATAAAATAAAATATTATATAAGAGATGGGAATTTTGTACAGAAACTATTTAAAACATCTGATAATTGGTATGGAAACTTTAGAAAGATCCTAGATCACGGAAAGAAGCTTTTAAATTTAAAGATGTAATAGGAATCTATAAAATAAACTATTAATATATTAGAGAAGAGAATTTTATACAAGAATTATATAAAACATAATAGTGAAGTTCCCACATATTTGCTAAAGATAAAGTATCACTTTCTAGAAATAGAAAACAGAGTCACAAAATAAACAAGTTGATGTTAATATTAATAATAATTATAATTACTTACATTGGGTTTTATTTGAAAACTCCTCCATCATCAGACACTGAGAACACGTATTATTAGGAGGCGCAATCTTCAGCGATTCGTTATTCAGTATTTTGTATATGGCGTTCTCCAATTGCTGCTCGTACAAACACTGATAGCAGGTCTTGTTGTAAGTAGCGTACACTCCTTCGATGGTTGAATCTAAGATTGGTGAACTTGAAGCGATTTCTATACTGACTGTGATGTTAGATGCTGAACTAATGTTTGCAGGTAGCGTTTCATTGGTTTTTGATGCAGTTACTTCGGTTGATGCAGACGTGTCATTTTTGGCTGTAGTAAGCAGCAAGCGGTTGGTGTGATAATGGGCACCTTCTGTAAACGACCTAGAGCAGATAACGTAACTGCCATAAGAGTTAGGTACCTGGATGACCAAGCTTTGATCAAAATAATTTTTTACTACACATAGCCCCTACTATTCGTCTTTACGGCCCCTAGGTGCAAGCTTAATGGCATTGCAATCCACAAAGGCTTATTGTACCAACATTTAAGTTTATATTCGGCTGTCGATAGGCGAGGATGTATGTTTATTAACATTACTCCGTATCTAGGTCAGTTTTGTTTGTGTTTGTAGTGTAAATATTTTTTAATCGCGAGTGTTTAAAAAAAAACAATGATTGCTAAACGTAATGTTTAAGAACAATAATAATAATAATAATAATAATGTGCCATTAAAAATAGTTTTACAATGTGTAGAAAATAATAATAAAACAGAATCGACACCTGCCAAAGTGCTTTTGGAGCAAAAAAAAAACAGGACCTGCTAACTAAAACAAATAATATGGAAACAATGGAAGTGGGAGAAATTCTCATAGCCCAACAATATCAGGCCTTATTCCATGAAAATCAAGCTAGAATTTAGAATGAACAGGCATTGTACAATGCTTGGATACAGGAAAAAGCTGAAAAACAGCAACTAGAAAGTGAATTGCAACAAATGCAAAACAATATGGAAAATATGCAAAAATAAAATTAATATTTTAAACAAAGAAAAATCTGAAATTCCAACGAATTATGAAACTGATGAAGAAGAACTGGCAAAAGAAATCGCGAATCAAATTAACAAAGAAGTAGAATGGATAACAGCGGAAAGCAGAAACAGTAGAAGAAAAAAACGAAAAGCCAACTCCTCTCCTGCTACCTCTCCTGGCCAACCTGGAGGTAGCAAAAATCAACAACAAAAGAAAAAACAGTCAAAAAAACACTGAAATTTCCCCCGATAATAGCAAGCAACATCAATAAGTATGAAGAATTGCGCCATACACTGGCAGAAAATAATATTTCCTTTCAAGCCACAGCTCTAAACAATAACCAGTTTAAAATTAAAAATAACCAAGAAAAAGACTTCAAAAATGTCATATCAATCTTGAATGCCAAAAAAATAAATTGGCATTCCTACGAAATTAAACAACAGAGACATTAAAGTAATAGAGGTCTACCATCTACATCTAAACCAGAAGATATTGTTGAAGAATTGCAAAGTCAAGGATTAAAATGTAAAGAAGCTGTCAATATAATAAAGAAGAAAATTGAATAAACCAAGGATTACACTCGTAAACTAAATAAAAAACCATTGCCCCTATTTATGCTATCATTCGAAAATATTGAAAATATTAAGAAAACCTACGAAATCAAAGCAAACCTTATTCTAAGAGTTAGAATAGAAACCATAAGAATATCAAAACTAGTTCCGCAATTTTAAAAATTTCCAGCTATTTGGACATACGTACAACTTTTGCAAAAAGAGAATCAAGATGCGTAAAGTGCGTAGGAAAACATCATACGAAGGATTATGTAAAAAGTCCAGAACAACAACCGAAGTGTATAAACTGCCCAATGGAACATCCTGCTAACTACAGAGGATGTGAGGTAGCTAAAACCTTTCAGATAAGAAACGATAACATCACTAAACCAAAAATAATGAAGAGGCAGAAGAGATCTATAAACGCGTTTCCTACTGTCAGAAATAAAATAACATATTCTCAAGTAACAAACTCACAGGAGCAACCAATTCAAAGGTCACAACCAGCCATGAATCCCACGCCACAAATTGCGCAGCATACTTCACAGTCAACCAGCTTAGCAGAAAGTACTACTCATGAAGTATTATTCTTATAACCAGAATAGATTCACTCTCTGATAGGATCCAGGAGCTAGAAGAATTAAATAAACCCCAAACATATAACAAAACCACCAATGGACAAAAGAGATATTAGAATAGCCACTTGGAATGCCAATGGTATTCTCCAAAAACAAACTGATATCCAAGTTTTCTTGGACGTACAAAAAGAAGATATATGTCTGATTTCTGAGACCTCACAACAGAAAATTATCTAAAAGTACTCAAAAAACTAGGTAACAAATTCATAATCGGTAGAGATTACAACTCCAAACACACAAACTGGGGTTCAAGATTATCCACAGTCAAAGGAAAAGAATTGCACCGAGCTGCATCAAAACTTGATTGTACATACCAATCTTCTGAAAAACCCACCTATTGGCCCACCGACCCAAATAAGATTCCAGACCTTTTGGATTTCTTTATTCTGAGGAAAAACTATACACAAGTACAAGAAAACTTTGATATGGATTCAGACCATTCTGCAGTAATCCTTACTCTAAGTGATAATGTTATTCAAAGAGAAGCCAAACCGACCCTAGCAAATCGGAAAACTAATTGGGAAGGTTTTCAAGAGGACTTAACAAATACTATTCAACTGACCATAACACTAAAAACAAAAAATCAGCTAGATGAGGAACTGGAAAGGTTTATAGTTGAAATCCAGCAAGCTGCATGGAGGAACACACCAAAAGTAAGAAGATTAACAGCTGGAAAAAACTATCCTGTCGAGATAAGAGAACTAGTAGCAGAAAAAAGAAAACTAAGAAAGACATGGTGGGTGACAAGATCACCAAAAGATAAAAATATATTAATTAGGGCTACCCAAAGACTGAGAAGAGAAATTCTGAATCACAAAGCAGAATCCTGCAACAGATACCTAGTAGGGCTAACAGATGGTAAAGAAACTGATTATTCACTCTGGAAGGCAACTAAAAAGATGAAAAATTCGTGTAAACACTGTCCTCCTATCAGAATAGCAGATAACAAATGGGCAAGAGACAATCAACAAAAACCTGATATTTTCGCTGACCACCTACAAAAGATGTTCCAATTAGATGAAAATCAAGAAACTCCTAAGGAGACCATCCATAATATGGAACAACTTAAAATTAAGCTAGTTACTCCCAATGAAGTTACGAAAGAAATTCAGACAAACATCAACTCACAGAAATCCCCAGGATATGACCTTATTACTAAAGAAATATTAAAGAAACTACCACGGAAGGCTATTGTTAAATTGACATACCTCATAAATGTAGCATTTCGCCTTAAATATAAACCTGACGCGTAGAAAATGGCTGAAGTTATCCTAATTCCTAAGCCAGGAAAACCTCTGAATGAAATGTCGTCATATAGACCTATATCAATGTTACCGATAATATCTAAGTTATTTGAAAAACTACTACTAAAACGACTAAAACGACTAAAACGACTAAAACGACTAAAACGACTAAAACGACTAAAACGACTAAAACCAATAATTGAAAATAAATCTGATCCCTTCGCTCCAATTTGGTTTTAGAAACAAACACTCGACAATAGATCAAGTACACAGGATAGCCGATATCATCGAAAAAACTTACGAAGAAAAATATATATGCTCAGCTATATTTCTTGATGTAGTCCAAGCATTTGACAAGGTTTAGTACGCTGGCCTAATACAGAAACTTGAAAAAATGCTCCCTAGACAATAAGTCAACATTCTACAATCATATTTAACGGGAAGAATGTTTAAAGTAAAGCAAGACGAGGCATACTCCGAAATGAAAGAAATTAAAGCAGGTGTCCCACAAGGCAGTGTGCTAGGACCGGTTCTTTACTTATTATACCAGCGATATCCCTCAACAACAATCTGTTAAAATGGCAACATTTGCGGATGACACTGCAATATTGGCAGTTGGCGGAACTAATACAGAGACCTCAGAAAAACTTCAGGAAACCTGCAACAGAATCAATCGATGGACAAAAAATTGGAAAATAAAAATAAATCAAACTAAATCAGTGCATGTTGATTTTACTCTTCGACCAAATGAACAAAAACAAATAAGAATAAACAATGACGTTATTCCGCATCACGATTCGGCCAAATACCTAGAGATGAACCTAGATGTAAGACTTAAATGGAAAGAGCACATAAAAAAAGCGTAAAGAACTTGAACTTAAATTCAAAAAAATGCATTTGCTCCTAGGAAGAAAATCCAAATTGTCACTGCACAACAAACTGCTGATTTATAAACAAATCCTAAAACCAATCTGGATTTATGACATACAGCTATGGGGATGTGCCAGCAAGAGTACTATCTACATGATACAAGTTTTCCAAAATAAAATCTCAAGATGCATTGTTCATGCACCTTGGTTCTACCGAAACGATTATCTTCATAGAGACCTGAAGATGCCAACAATCGAAAAATAAATAAAGAGGTTTGCTGCGAAACATGAGAGTCGACTCCACTCCCACGTCAACGAAGAATCGTTGCAATTACTGGACAACTACACTCAACAGAAGGCTCAAAAGGAAGAAGCCATTTGAGCTAGTGCAGTGAACGTTAATGTTAGTGCTAGTGTAAAACAGTGTAATAAATCTTCACGCCAACTTATGATGCTTTCCTATAGAAACAATTAAGACAGCCCAATGGGGACTTCTTAGATAAGTTATTAGTTTGTTACATTTGTAGATTAAAATTGTAGAACAAGTAACAAAAAAAAATATTTTTTAGTCAAGTTGTCAAGTCAGAATAAAGGTAGTAATTGTTAGCACAATATTTTTTGATGAAGTGGTGCCTAGTCGAAATTCTGGTTGTAAAAAGCCTAAATAATTAGCAGTCATTTTCAGTCTGTCATTACAGATATTTTTTAAGTTAGTGAGTAAACTTAAAAAAAAATAACAATAAAAAATATTAAATAAACCAAACTAAAATATTTATTTATGTCTACTTACAGAAAAGGAGTGAGTAAAAGCATCACACATACCCCAAATGGGCAAAAGCTGGTATTAGATGATGTTGCTGACATTTTTCTTTTATGAAGGATTTTATTGGTTTCAACGAAGCCTGCTATTAATGGAACGAATACAAAATTTGTCAAATGTTTTATAGGTTTTCCTTATCAATAATTACAACGTGATTTATGTGGAGGCAAAGAAGGGATAGGAAAAGAATACCAAGCTGACGTGAGAATATGCGAACGTGAAGATAAACCATAGGCGTAGGTAAGGAGAGCATAAAAATTGGTGTTTTAGAGCCTGAAAAGTTAAAATTAAAATTATAATTTAAGTATAATTTAAAACACAAAAAAAATGCTAGTAGGAAAAATTAAAATATTTTTAATATTCTTACGGTGGTTATTGTTTAAATTGTTAGATATGTCGCTGTATCCAAAATATAGTGGTGATTAATTTTTGATGAAAACATACAGGGAGTGTAATTTTTAAAAAAGCGGTAAAAGTAATTTTCTGAGGGTTGTAAAATTTTTTTTTTATATTTATGTATGTCCTTGGCTTTGTCAATTAGCCAGACTAGTTTATATTTTTTAGATACAAGCAATTACAAATCTACAATCCAAGGTTAATATTTTCTATTAATATTCTTTTTTTATACTTCTCACATTTTTTATTTTAATATTCTCTTTCGATGTTTATTTCAGCATAAGAGTACATAAGGTTTTTTAATGGTGTATACAATTTTTGCTTATCCCTTGTGTTAAATTAGTATAGTAGTCCAGGGAAGTTAGGAAAAATAGCGGAACAGGACAGGACAGCAGATATCGTGATGTGGTTTTCTGCATTGTGTTCAGAAATGTCCCAGGAAAAAAGTCTATATCGTCTGGTTTCGTCTGGTTAAGCCATTTATTGAAAAATGTCTTCTGGGCCAGAAAATGCATTTACCAATTGCATCATTACTTGCAACATTATAGGAACGACTGGAAACTTTGAAAAATTGCTCGGAAATCGTTACTCGGGGGTTTTCGGGGTTGCCGAACTCGATTCTGACATTAAAATTACACTTGAGTGCACTGGGTTAGCTCTGCAGGGGTATCCGGGGGGTCATTCAGGGAGGGAAACTGTATAGTCCATGGGAGCGCTCCAAACTCGTTACTCGGGGATTTTTGGGGATGCTGAATTCAATTCTGGCATTAGACTTCCCCGGAGGCGATCGGGGATGGTAAAGGAGAAAGTGAAAAATTAGAAATTATGAAAATAATGCTGTATTCAAATAACAAATAGGAGTTTTTATTAATGTTGAATTATTTATTATAAATTGAAATTTTTAACTTAAATACTAAACATCTTGTTCAAACTCTTCTTCTTCCCCTTCTTCATCTTCTTTCCTTTCTTCATCTTCTTCCTCATCACTATTCTTGGCTCCGTTGGAATTGCCTTTTTGGTTTGAGCAATTGCCATCGCAATGTTTACATGCAAGTGAACATGTCAACCCACTTCGGCGGCACCCGCACCTCGTGCCACAGTCGGTTTCACAATAACAAGAAATGTTGCTTAAAATTTCCTCGAGACCGGCTCCCTGGGTCATGGTGACAGGACTGAGCTCTCCATCCACAAATTCCCACTCCCATTTTAACACATGTTAACCGATCGAAGGTCTCGTCTTGACCTTGTGAACCATACCAAGCCTGTACTTGGAACTCGACACGCTTGATATGCTCGGTTAACGGATTGATAGTCGGGATTATGAGTACAAGATCGACTTTTTTAGAATTGGTGGCTTCAGCATACATTTTTGCTCGATAGCTTTGGACGAGCTCAATCGCAGGTTTATCGCTCGTGCGCACATCTTTAGATGGTCCATAAAGAGCCAAAGCTAGACAAAGCCCATGCTCTATTAAATTATCCATGGATACATGTGTTTGCTTAAATATTTCTGCACACCCATGTTATTCATCATATTTTTTAAACAAATCGCAGAATTTTACTTTCCCTTGATAGAAAAATGCTGAGGTTAAGTCGGATCCCGTAAAACTATGTAGAATTATAATATGAAACCTGATGCTAAGCTCTCGAAAGAATACACTACATCAGGTACTCTAGCAGAAGGCGGCTTCAGCAATAACACTTTTAGATTCAGTGGAGTCCGAGCAGTAAGCATTGTTAAGATGTCAGTGTCTTCCGAAACAATAACCACAACACTGAACTGATGAAGAAAGGAGGAAATACAGTTTCTGAAGCGGTGACACCACCATCTTCTGCAACATGTGGACCATTAACAAAATTAACATTAACAGCATTATCACGTATTGAAAACGTAAGGTCGACGTCGACAACCCCAATAAAGATGTTTACACTTCTCACTATGAAGCTTCTACTGAGGCGGGGATTAAGAAGACTAGTACTCTTCTATAAAAAGACTCCGGTTAATGGCTCAGAAGCATTACTAATGACAATATTGGTTAAACTTGGCCATAAATCTAAGAAATGTAGAAGAAGCTTGCTTTACTTAGTTTCGTAAAATCGATATTTAATTTTTGTTGTAATAGTTTTAAGATCTTTAATGGTATTTCTAATACTCATGGTTTTTCTGAGTGGCAACATATGTGCTTGGCTATAAAAAGGCACAAAAAATCGTTAATATATATAATGTTCACATGATCACATGAATGCATTTAAAAAGAAATGCAAATTTTGTCACAACTGTAAACGATTATCACTTACGGTTTTTAGATATTAATTAAGAAATACTGGCTAAACGTTCTGGAAACAATTTGTTGAAGCTGTCAAATTTGTATCCAGACAAGGTATAGCATTCTAAGGTTCTTCTACAATTTTTTTTAAATATGATAATGAAAACTTCCTCAATTATGATAATTTCCCCCATTTGAACCTCTGATGGGAAACCACATTATTGCAAAACTAACAAACAAGTTGTTTAAAAAGGACCCATTATGTAGGCTACAAATAAAAAATGAAATTATTGAATTAATATCTTCTGAAGTAAAAACTAATATTTTGGATATGATTCGCAGTTTCAAGTCATACAAATCTAATAAGTGTTTTTGCGTTATGTTCTTTTAAATAGCATTTCTACAACGGTTCATATACAAGACAGTTTCATAGTGTTCAACCGAATATTCGACTCGAAAGGGGAAGGCCAATTTGATTTTGTCGTGGAACTTTTGAAAATTTTGAATTTAAATAATGACTTGAGAGATCAAGGGTATGAAAATAAAATCCATGCTAATACCAGGTTAAATTTAGCAGTAAATGATACTGATACTAAAGTTCCAAATAAAACAGTCAACTTTTTCAATATTGTACAAGAACTTTATGTATTTTTCTCTTCATTCGCAAAAAAGTGGGATAATATAAAAAAAGTATGTCACTAAGTTAAATCTAAACAAAGTAATGATGGTCAAGTAGGATTGATGCTATAAATTTCATCTAATTCAGAATTTGGATGATGTTAAGCTGGCTTTGCACCCTTTCAGATAACGAAAATAGATAAATGGGCCAGGCTTACTATCTTTTGGTCTCGTTGGGCTCATGACATTTGCCATTTATGCTCATACCGTTTTTGAGATATGGACCCTAAAATTGTTTGATGCCATCTTGACGGTAGCATTAAAATGAAGGGCTGGCCATACTAACCATTGGACCTGATTCTGAAAACAAATTATTTAATTTGAGCTTATGCCTTTTTCGAAATATGGGTTCCAAAAATATTGGACGTCATCTTGACAATAGCATATAAATGAATGGGCTGGCCATGCGAATCATTGGGTCTGATTCAGCAAGCAATGGATTGAATGAGCCAGCAATTCGTTTCGTTTGGGCTTATTCTGTTTTTGAGATATGGTATATGAAAATTAATATTGGCGATTATTTTTAGCTATAGCCCTATAAAAGAAAATTTCTCTGATTAAGCATCCGTATCTTGATAACGTCAAATGTTACGAGCCCAATGAGCTCAAACAAAAGTGAGCTATTTTCAGAAACTTGACATTAGCTCAGATTCGTGATAACCTTCTAGAAATAGAAGTTAGGCATATTATTAAGTATCCAATCTTTTAAAATTTGCAGTATAATAATTTGGTAAGATGTTTAATTTTAGATTGGTATTGTAAGCAAAAAGTGTAACAATTATTATTAAAGTGTGCCAAAACTATTCACAAAATTTAGTTCATCATTTGATTATAAGATGATGTTGATTTCGAGGAAAAACTTGCTAAAGATGGAAAAATAGCAGCCGTTCTTAAGATAGAGCAAGGTTTTTTCCGTTAAATACTGTTAGACGAAAGTATAAACCAAAATTTTTCGATTATGTTCAGTTGGAAATTATTTTTTAAAAATAATTGATCAAGCAGTAAGTTCTTTAAATAGAATATTTGAAATGATAACTGATTACGACAACGTTTTTGAGTTTTTGTGTGCTATTTTTAAATTAAATGACGAGGATCTTTTAAAAGGGTATCGAGCCCTACAACAAAAGCTAACTGATTGTCAAATAAGGAGGCTGACGAAAAAGAAAATAATTTATTTAACGAGATAAAAGACCTAAGATAATTTCCATTACCTGAATCGTTAAATCATTTCTACATTTTAAATATATAAAAATATTATAACTTTATAACTACCAAATATTATTATGAATCCTGCTTACTTTACCTGTGTTTGTAGCTGCTGGTGAAAGTCCTTCTCAAAATTTAAAATAATTAAAAATTATTTGAGGTCTTCCATGTTACAAAAAAGATTATCTGGTAGCTATAGAGCAAGAGACCTTCGATTTTTTCTTTCATTCACAACAAATGCCTTTTTGTCAATTTTGTTTAGATCTCAAACCCTCTGAATCTTGTATTTTTGCTTATTTTTAAAAATAATTATTACAATAATTGGATACGCCTATGAAAACAAGAAATGGTGCTTTATCGATATAGATCGTATTTCCGAACCACTTAACGTGATAATGTATATTAAAGAAAAACTTAAACAAGAGTTAATTTCTTCTGAGTGCGATGAAATATAGAATATTTACGGATTAAATGATGGGTTGGAAAAACTACTGTAATAATCATTGGAATATTATATAGGCATCCAAAAGTAATTAGCTACAATTTTTAGATGAAGTGGTAATAGCTATTTGTAATGGAGTGCGGCAATCTGTCAAAAGCGGCAGCGACTTTT